CAGAGGGTCGGCTCCGGTGGTGGTCACCGCCAGCAGCAGGAGCAGCAGCAGCGCACTCGTGAGACCCCTTCCCCCCAGCAACTTCGTGAGTGGTACACTGCTCGTCAGCGGGGTTGGGGTGCTGGCCCCTGTACCTACGTTCTACGTACAGGCGACCGCACGGGTGAGCAGTGTGGGGGTCCGCACTCCACCCAGCGCTGCTTCGGCCGCCTGACGGACGCTTGGCGTCACCAGTTCCCCGACGCTACTGAGATCCCTCGCTGGGGCGAGCTGTTTAGGGCGGGTGTTGCGATCTTTGATCTTGATTATGATGCTATTCTTGCTGCAATGTATGCTGTGACTATTAGTGATGAGGGTGACTGTTACCAGTGTTTTCCGCCTGACCCGGGCATTGAGGCTGCTGCTCTAGGTGCTGGTGAGGCTGCTGCTCTAGGTGCCAGTGAGCCTGCTGCCCCAGGTGCTGGCGAGTCTGCGCTCTCAGGTACCGCATCGGCTCCGGCTACCCACACCTTCACCCTTGACTCGGGTGCTTCCCGCTCCTTCTTTCGGGACCGCACCACGCTTACGCCGTTTAGTCGGCCAGTGGCTCCCTGGCAGACCCCTCTGGGGGTCCTGTCCTTGCCCACTTCTCCACTGTTCTACCGTGTCCGGCGGCCCCTTTTGGCACCTTGTCGGGTCTTTACCTCCCCTCGTTCTCTACGAACTTGGTGAGTGGTGCTGACCTCCAGGATGGAGGGGTTCACCAGTTCACTCCTGCGAGTCAGCGAGTGACCCACTGTACCTGTGCTCGGACGGGCCGTCACTTGGCCACGTTTACCCGTCAGCCGGGGTCGAGCCTGTACACACTGACTACTGAGTCTCCTCCAGTCGCTGAGTTTGCTCAGGTAGCCGCGTCGGATCAGGTGTTTGCTGCGGCGTCCAGGTCTGGTCCTGAGTCTGCCCCCTGCTCGTGTCGTCTCCTGTCTCACCAGACTCTCCTCTGGCACCACCGCCTTGGTCACCCCTCCTTGCCTCGTCTTCGAGGCATGGCCTCCCGTGTCCTTGTCTCTGGTCTCCCCCGGTCCCTCCCTCCCCTTCCTCCGGGGCCTGCCCCCACCTGCGTTCCCTGCGTCGAGGGGCGGCAGCGCACTGCTCCTCACTCCTCCGAGTTTCCTCCGACAGAGGCTCCGCTGCAGACGCTTCACATGGACGTGTGGGGCCCAGCCCGCGTCCGTGGACAGGGTCACGAGCGTTACTTCCTGGTGGTGGTTGACGACTACTGGCGTTACACCGCAGTCTTCCCCTTGCGCAGCAAGGGTGAGGTCACTGAGGTGTTGATCGCCTGGATCCGCGCAGCTCGTCTCCAGCTCAGAGAGAGTTTCGGCTCGGACTTTCCTGGTCTGGGTCTGCACTCTGACAGAGGCGGTGAGTTCTCCTCTGACCTTCTGCGAGCCTTTTGTCGTGCACGAGGCATTCGCCAGACCTTCACGCTTCCGGACTCTCCGCAGCAAAATGGGATTGCTGAGCGCCGCATTGGCATGGTCATGGATGTCGCTCGTACGTCCATGGTCCATGCGGCTGCCCCCCATTTTCTGTGGCCGTTTGCGGTTTGGTACGCGGCGCATCAGATCAACCTTCAGCTCCGGGTCTCCATGCCGGAGACCTCCCCTGTTTTGCTGTGGACGGGGAAGGTTGGCGATGCGTCTGCGTTCCGTGTCTGGGGATCTCGGGCGTTTGTCCGCGACTTGTCTACGGACAAGCTGTCCCCTCGTGCTGTTCCCTGCGTCTTCCTTGGCTTCCCCCCTGACGCGCCGGGCTGGCAGTTCTACCACCCCACCTCGCGCCGTGTTCTGTCCTCCCAGGACGTCACCTTTGACGAGTCGATTCCCTACTACCGTCTCTTCCCCTACCGCATTGCGTCCCTCCCCCCCCCCCGCCGCTCTTCCTTACGCCAGGTCCCCCTCCGGTAGACCCCCTCCCCCCTCAGGGTCCTGCCCCCTCAGGTGTGTCTCAGGTAGACGCAGTCAACCCTGTCGAGGTAGCTGTTGACTCTGGTGCTGCTAGGGTTGCTGATCCTGCGGGTGCTGGGTCTGGGGGTGCGGAGCCTGGGGGTGCTGACTCTGGGGGTGCTGAGCCTGGGGGTGCTACGCCTGGGGGTGCTGCGTCTTGGGGTGCTGAGCCTGGGGGTGCTGCGTCTGGGGGTGCGGAGTCTGAGGGTACTGGACCTGCTCGTGTGGCGTCTGGCGGTGCTGGGCCTGGAGGTTCTTCAGGTGCTTCGTCCCGGCGGGAGCTACTCTCTCCACAGGAGCTGCGTGAGTGGTTTGCATCTCTGTTGTGTGCCAATCTTTTTGTTACAAGCAATGTTTTTGAGCACACGGAGAACAATATCCTTCTTGGCGCCTCCTCTTCCCTTGCCCCATGCAGTGACACCAACGACACGAGTCTTACGTGCCCTGTCAGCTACAGCAGCTGTGGTGTGCCTCAGAATGCGTCCTCTGGCTTCTGCCGCGCCTGCCCTGACTTCTGTGCCACGTGTGAGCTCTTTTCTTGAGAAGGTTAAGAGGGAGGGTGGGGAGAGGTGTTTCCATCCAAGCACGAGCCTTTGACCCGCCTGTGTGTTCTCTCTTAATTCTTCGCTGCCCTCTCCACTCCAAGATGTGCTGGTCTGCTGTACCGTATGTTTCAATTACTTGTTGATAGAAACATTCGAGACCCCTATTCCATCTACAGGCGGCAAGCGCAAGCCACTTCATTGGGGCGTCATTACGGGAATTGTGGCTGCTGTTGTTGTCACAGCGGTGTTTGCTGCACTCCTCTACTTCTACTGCTTCGACAAACGTGCGTCCCGCCTCACACTGCATACCGCCTCACACTTCACACCACCTCACACTTCACACCACCTCACACTTCACACCACCTCACACTTCACACCACCTCACACTTCATACCACCTCACGCTGTGTCCCACCTAACGTTGCCTTTTCTTGCCGGCCCTGTGATTCCTGGGTTGCCATAATGATTCTTTGATACTCCTCTCATTCCACTTCCAATCACCTCCCTGTGCCTCCCTCCCCTTCTCCTTCATTGCCTCCTCACTCGCCCCTTTCTCTTTCGATCCCCCCATCATTTCCCTGCAACCTGCATGAGCACCAAGGCGCCTCCTCCCTTGGCTTCCCAAACTTTTCAACCCTGAGTCACATCTGCTGCCTGCCCTTTCTCCGTGTCTGCTCCTCCCCACAGCGCTGGTGAGCAGCAAGGCGGCAGCGCAGGTGTGTCAGGAGTATTCACTGGCGACGGTGGCGAAAGCAACCAACGGATGGTCCCAGGCCAGCCGCCAACCTGCTGGGCATGGGAGGGTTTGGTGACGTGTATCGCGGCGTCTCTCCCACCGATGGCACCACTCAGTGGGCCGTGAAGCGAGCCAGGACCGTCACCACCGACTTCGATAAAGAGGTGTGCCAGCGTGGTCGTGTGTGGTTTGCTGTGCTGCACGGATCCAGCATTGCACAGCGATCCAGACATTGCTAAACAAGGGTTCCAGTTCTGATGCGCCTCAAATCTGCGCCACCGTAGTGCTGCTTGTGTGGGGTGTGCGTGCAAGCTACACCCTATTCTGTATCACGCTGTGCTCGTTGCTTGTGTGGGGTGTGCATGCAAGCTACACCCTATTCTGTATGTATCACGTTGTTTGTGTGAGGTGTGCGTGCGAGACCGATAGCTACAGAATTGTGGTAGGCAGCTGTGTCATATGGATCACTGAACCGTGTGTTTTATCCACAGGGGCCCACTGGTATGCCTGCCTGGCAGGTGTGCGCGATGGCCCCAAAGGACCACCCCAACCTCGTGTGTGTGTCACACACCCACGGCATTCCGGCACGCAGCAGATTCAGAAGGATCACTGAACTGTGCTGTACTATGCGTGGCAGGTGTGTGCGATGGCCACAAAGGACCACCCCAACCTGGTGAAACTACTCGGCTTCTCAATCGGCATCACCGGCAAGACATGGGTCAAGCAAATCCTCATCTACGAGCTCATGCCCAACGGGGACCTCTTGCGATGGATCGGGAAAGGTGTGCATTCTAACAGTGCACGCATGTGCTTAGCAGCTACGCTCCCACCTAGTTGGCTGCCTTCCAGGTATGCCTCTTCATGCATGCCTCCTTGATACAGGCCTTCTTGGCAGGTATCCCTCCTTAGCTATGCTCCCATTTTCTTGCCTGCTTCTCACGGACTCCTCTCTCCACCCCTCCATTCCGTCCGTTCGCATCCCCTTCGCCCATCATTCTTATGCGCTGGCCCCTGCAGAGGCAGCAACACCGCTGAGCTTTGAGCAGCGGGTGGGAGTGCTGGTGGGGGCGGCCCGCGGCTTTGAGTATCTCCACAGCTTCCCCATCATTCACCGCGACATCAAGCCCGCCAACATCCTGCTTGATGACCGCATGCAGGTAAGTCTGCTCAACGTCCTGCTCAACCAAACCGTGCGTGCAGCTGCACTACTATGAACGGGCATGCACACATGGGTGGCCTGTGTGTGCGCCTCATGTACTTGATGTGTGAGTGCATCCACATGGGTGGACAGGACATCAAATTCCAGTAGATTTCACCGTGCATCCACTCCTGCCTATATCCATTCTCTTCTATGCATGAGTGCAGACTAAGATTTCAGATTTTGGGCTTGTGAGGAAGGGCGAGGGCACAACACTACAGAGCACGCGAGTGCTGGGAACACCGGGCTATGTGGACCCCTCTTATGCCGCGCAACCAACAAGGCCACCACCGCCACTGATGTCTACAGGTGAGCCATGAGCCTCTTATGTCCTTATTTTGGTTACTTTCTGATGGTGGACGCGTCTTATGGTTTACTTCCTCTCCTCTCCTCTCCTCTCCTCTCCTCTCCTCTCATCTCCGCCTCTCCTCTCCTTGGGGTGTCCTGGTGTGCAGCTTCGGCATTCTCATGCTTGAGCTCATGACAGGCCGCAACATCATCACCGATTCTTTCAGCATTCCCTTCGATGAGGAGGCGGGTCAGCAGCTGCACATCCTTCCCTGGGTATGTCCGTGAGGAGATAGAGAGAGTGCCAGTGTGTGTCTGTGTTTCCGCTCTTCAATTCCTTCTCTCTCTTACGCATCGACATGTCGTCTCCACTCTTCAAACTCGAGTTGTTCCAACCCCACAAACTTGTTCTGCTGCTGATCACCACCAGGTCCAGCAGCAGCTGGCACAATCCGGCAGCAACAAGGGGGCGGTGGCTGGCCTCAAGGATGCGCGCATGGAGGCGCGGGATGAGTTAGTGTTGAGGGTGGTGCAGCTGGCACTGCGATGCACCGACAAGCAAAGCGCCACGCGGCCGGTCATGGGGGTGATTGCAGCCGAGCTGGAGGACGTGCTGGTGGAGCTGGGCGGCGCACACGGAAATGCTGGTCCCCGTCAGGTGGATCGAGAGTTGGAGGTGCAGAAAAAGTCTGTTACGACTTTGGATACGGAGATTGATCGTCTTAATGACCTGTTGTGCTTTGATGGCGTGGAAATGCCATGACCTGCTGTGATGGCGTGAAAGCCGAAGTGCATTCGCTGCTGCTGTTGGAAAGTGTGTGTAGATGTCAGAATGTGTTATTCTTATATGATTGCATGTCTGGCTAGTAGTGTATTATCGTGTCAAGAATGAAAGTGTTGGTTGATAAGGGTTGGTTGGGGTACCATAAACCTAACCCTAACAGTTGTACCCTTTATAACACACCTCATTAAGACTACAACATTTGACACACCCCCATAGTCACAAAGAAACAAAGCTTAGGGTGGATCACAACGTCACCACACTCCGAGCACAAGCAAAAGAGCCACAAAGCTAGTTCAAGAGTTCACAGACAGGGCCTCTGAAGTCAGTGAAAAAAGGCTGATTAGGGTTAAAAAGTGTGTTTTCAGTGCTGGGGAGATAGTGGGGCTGATTTGTCAGCTTTTTTTTTAGTGTGTGGGCTGAAATTTCAGATTTTGTTTCTATGTAAGGGCTGACATTTCAGCTTTTTTTCTGTAGTGTACACTGACTGACCAGCGTCGTACCGGGGGGGTTGGCTGAAATCCTAGTAATCGAGATTCGCGTAGGTATGTAAATTTTGAAAAGTGTGTACGGTAACACCTTTCAAAAATTGTGTATTGTGAAAGTGTAGCGATTGCCAACGCAGCAAAGGCAGCGTCGCATCGCTACTCGCCCTCTTTTGGCTACAAAAGAGGGGGTTGAGGCCATTCGGCCTCACCCACGTTCTTCTTTTCAATTTCGAAGTTTGAGTTTTCAATCTCGTCCAGTCTGGCGAAGACGCAGTCACTCACTCGCTTCACTGCCCCGACGACTCTACTTGCTGATATTTTTAAACACAACATCGGAGCCATGGCGCCAGCGAACAACACTGCTAATCGCGAGGGCAACAAGGCGACAGACACTCCCGTCGCCCCGAATGCCAACATTCCGCCCAGGACAACCGCCCGTCGCCCGAAACGGGCTGCCGAGGAGTCACGCGAGGACCTCGCCACTGGCGTCGAGGTCCTGCTGGGCGGAGGCTCCCCGGCGCCTTCCGAGGAGCCTTCCGCGAAGTGGCGAAAAAGACAACCGCTGACGCGGCTGTCTTGACCACCACCTCGAGCCCCTCAGGCGCGCGTGTCAAGCAGCACGCGCCAGCACCCTCGAGCCACACGCCAGCCACGACCGACCCCAACCCCCCGTTCAACCCGGCACAACTGCAAGCAAGACTGGCGCTATTACAGCAGCACGCGCCTGTTACGGCGGGGACTTAAAAAAATGAGGACGCTACAACTTCTGCAAAATATGATAAGAAGAAAGAAGAAGCTCACGCCGTCGCACCGCGCCCTCCCAAGACTGCCCGCATCGAGAAGGACCCGGCCCCCGCTCCCGTCGAAGATGACAGCGATGAGTCCGACGACGGTGATGGTGAGGCCTCCCCTCGCCGTCACAACCCAATTTTCACTCATGCCTCTTGCTCTACGCTTCCCTCCCTCAACCCCGCAACCGCAAACTCCACGTTCAACCGCAAGGGCGTACGCGACCAGGCAGAGGTTTTCTCTGCTATCCAGGCCCACCTCAGGCACATTGAGTTCAAACTCCAGCAAGGCGATGCGGAAGGCGCTCGCACCAACATTGCTCAAATCGAGACGCTCATTAACAAGCGATTTGAGGTGCTCTTGGTGGCGGACGAGGCGGGCTTCGAGGCGGCCGATCGCTTCCAGCTCTACCAGTCCAAGAGCGTGTTGACCTCCCATTCGTACAAGCTGGCCATGGCCGACGTGGCCGCGTCGAAGCGCGCTCGCATGACCTACAACCGTCCCACCCGCAGGGGTGGCCTCAACGCCGGCGAACTCGGCAACAAAGGCTCCGAGCAAGGCTCTTGCCAGGAAAGGACCTTCAAGGGTACCTGTTTTCGCTACGGCCAGCCCGGCCACATGGCGAACGCCTGCCCCATGGGGGGGCGTGGAAGCCAAGGCCTCACACCCGTAGTGTGAGGGACCAAAGGACGGAGCCCTTTCCCCTTATGTCAAAGGGACATAACGGGGCTGCACCAGGGGGTGCAAGGCTGAGGAGCAGCCTAAGGAACTAAGGGCCAGGGGGCCCAAGGAGGAGCCCTAGGGGCCATTAGCTATTGGTGAATTTGTGTATTTTTGCAAGAAATGGTTATTATGTGATGATAAGTTGCCTATGGAAGTGCTTGTCATTTTTACTTCAATTTGGTACCTTGGGCTCAAGAATGGTCTGCACTATGATATGGGCAACCAGAAACAACTAGTGCAAAGCAAAGAAGAAGAAGAAGAAGAACAAAAAAAAAAGGGTGAGAAAAATCGAGCCGAAAGGTTCATACACCTTAATACGAAATCAAGTGACGCGTGAGCCTCATCACGCATCAAGAGACCCATCAAGGTCCAAGAGGACCCAAGAAACAGCATGGAGGATCATGCATTGTGTGGTTGTTCACACAAACGTCTTAAAAACAAAGAGAGAGAGAGAGAGAGAAAGAGAGAGAGAGAGAGAGAGAGAGAGAGAGAGAGAGAGAGAGAGAGAGAGAGAGAGAGAGAAAAGAGCGAGAGAGAAAGAGAACAAGCGTTGTCTCCCTCTCTTGTATGTTCTCGCGCACCACATTGCATAGAATATTTGGCTCGTGAACCGCATCTCACTAGGTGCAAGCCGAGCCGTGCAATGCAAAAAAAAATAAAAAAAAATAGGACCCAAGATCGCAATCACGCAACGCAACTCGCCCACGTGCGTGTATACGTGCAAGTGTACGCGAAGGCAAATCTCTCAAGCCCACCACGAAGGCCAGACCACACGACGGTCGTGTCAACGGGAGTTGGGTATTGGCCCCGTCCTCGCTTGGGCGGAGCCGGCTTCGTGGTCGGGTGTGAGGGGAGCAGCCGACCTGTAGCAGTGGGTGAGCTGGTCGACGAGGAGGTCGACCTGCACGGGGGACCACTGCACGGGCGCCGACTTCAGGGTGGCGCCGACTTCAGGGAGGTCGTCTTGGGAGTCGACCTGCGGAGGACGTCAACTTGGTGAAGCCGACTTCGGCGGTCGGCTAACGGACTGCTAGTCGACCTGTTAGTGGTCGACTGGACCTGGTGGTCGACGGAGGAGGGGCCGACGTCGACCTTGACTCAGGGCGCCAAGCAGGAAGACGCCGAGCAGGAGGACGCCGCCCTGGAGGCTTGGTTGGCGTCCCGTGCGTCTGCACGGCGTCCGGGGTCCGGACGCCGATCTGGGCGTCGGGTCCCGACACCGACCTGGGTGTCTAGTCGGCGTCCTGGGAGGAGGGACGCCGCTCTGGAGGTGTGGTCGGCGTCCCGGGCGTCTGGACGCCGACCAGGGGGTTCGGAAGGCGTTCTGGGCGCCTGGACGCCAGACTGGGGACGCCGGGCATGCGTGACCGGCTACGGACTGCGTGAGCCGACCAGGCGTGGTTGCCCGGTCGATCGGGATACCCGGGCGACGTGTGTCAGAACATGTCTATAGCTTATACTGCTGTGTAGGCTGTAGTGGGGTATCCCATAGGGGGTACAACCCAGTTAGGGTTTCACATTTGTACTGCTTTCACTCATAGTTCACATCATTCCTGCTTACTCATTTCACATGGTATAGAGCTAGGTCCCTCCAGGACCGAATTTTTTTTGGGCCCACCGAAGCGCGCCCCCGAGGCGCGATTTTTTTTAGCGACCCCTCGAGTCGCCCTCTCCCCTGCGGCCTCGCCGCCCACTCTGTCGCGGCCCCGCCCTGCTCCTTACGCGGCCCCGCCGCCTGCTCCTTACGCGGCCCCGCCCCGGCCCTTACGCGGCCCCGCGTCGCCTCCTACGCGACCCTTACGCGGCCCCGCGCCGGCCCCTTACGCGGCCCTTACGCGGCCCTTACGCGGCCACGCCGCCGGCTCCTTACGCGGCCCCGCGCCGGCCCCTTACGCGGCCCTTACGCGGCCCTTACGCGGCCACGCCGCCAGCTCCTACGCGGCCCCGCGCCGGCTTCTTACGCGGCCCGTCCCCGGCCCCTACGCGGCTCCGCGCCGGCTCCTACGCGGCTCTTACGCGGCCCCGCGCCGGCCCCCCCCCCTTACGCGGCCCTGACGCGGCCACGCCACCGGCTCCTACGCGGCCCCGCGCCGGCTCTCACGCGGCCCCGCAGCTGGCTCCTACTCGGCCCCGCAGCCGGCCCCTTAAGCGGCCCCACCGCCGGCCTCCTACTTGGCCCTGCCCCGGCTCCTATCACGGCCCCGCCCAGGCTCCTTCGCGGCCCTGCCCCGGCTCCTACGCGGCCCTACCGCCGGCCCTGACGCGGCCCCGCCCCGTCTCACTTCTACGCGACCCGAGCCGCCTGTCGCCGAGCAGCCCAGGACCCGAACCGCCCTGCAGCCGAGCCGCCCGGGAGCCGAGCCGCCCTGCACCCGAGCCGCCCTGCAGCCGAGCCGCCCGGGAGCCGAGCCGCCCTGCACCCGAGCCGCCCTGCCGTCGAGCCGCCCGGGAGCCGATCCGCTGTACACCCGAGCCGCCCGGTCGCCGTTCTGCTTTTCTGTCGAGCTGCGCGACCTGCCCTGCCTGGTGAGCACAGTCCCACTGTCACTGCGTGCTCTCCCCCCTACTGCTTGCACTGCTTCACAGTCGTCGTCATGGCTACCCCTAGTGTCCTAGCTTTTGACGCTGAGGGTCGCGCCATTGATTTTGAGGTCTGGCTAGACGACCTGCAGCTGTTCTTACAGTGCGACAGGGCTGATGACCTTTCTCTCTTTGACCTCACCTCTGGCGCCTCTCCTGCTCCTGCTGCTGATGCTGATCCCGCTGTCCGCTCTAAGTGGGCCACCCGCGATGCTGCTGCACGTCTTGCTGTGCGTCGCCACCTCCCTACCTCTGAGCGTGCGCACTTTAGTCAGTACAAGAGTGCTCAGACCTTGTACGACGCTGTAGTTGCGCGCTACTCCTCCCCTGCCACTGCTGCACTGAGCCGTCTCATGCTTCCCTACCTCTTTCCTGACCTCTCTGCCTTTCCCACTGTCGCTG